CCCCAGCATTTCAGGAGCAATTATGTTGTGTGCTCTGAAAACATGAGCTGGTTATCCCTGTCCTGTAGAATTTATCACAGCAGCTTTTGATCTGCTTTTTCTCTCTGTGTTTTCCTCTAAGTGGATCTGATCCCCACCCCCACCCCTTACTTTGGCCCTGCTCTCCAGGTTCACACCTGTTCCCCTCCCTGAAGGTGCCCAGCCCCAATTCCTGCTCCCGGTGTCTCCGTCTGTGCCCGGTACCTGCGTGCTCGTGTTAGCTGGTCGAGGTGGTCATTAGTAACAAAACTGTATTTGCTGTGTCCACAGTATCTAAAGAACTGAAAGTCCTCTAATATCTGACTGTGTCTTACCTTCCCTGGAACTTGTTCATCCCATAACGTAATATAAGGGCATTTATTTTAAAATTACTGGAAAGAAACCGTTAATGCTTGTGTTATGTTTTAACTTTGCTTTCCTTTGGAGGCAGGGAATTGTCAAGTAAGTACTAACAACCCAGAGCACAGAAAAAGCAGATTGCTGTGAATGTACAGTGCATAGGTCAAAAAGGGTAAATTTGTGTCATTTGCTACAGTGCAAATTTCTTGTCTTGTCACTGCCACCTGATGTACCAAAATAAACTAGGGGTAGTCGTGGACTTGTGAAAAATGAAATGACCTCAAATGTTAACAGTTTGGTGCTGCTTTAGGTCTGTTTTGTTGAGGTGATAGTAAGACAGTGAATGCATACCTGTGTATATATACATGTACATGTATATATCAATGCACACGTCCGTGTGTGTACTGTGAATAGCCATATATAAAATACACCTGTGTGTTGTGTATGTTTCCAAATCAAATCTCATGCTTACGTTCTAGTGATTATCAATCATGTCATAGTGGTAGTGTTCTCTTGCTTCTATAAAAAATGTTGGCTTGCTCTTGTCATAAACCGTAACTGATACTCCAGGTAAAGAACTGTAAAACCAATCCACTTTAAAACTACACTAAAACAGAAAAAAGAGTAGGAAGCACAGAGGGAAGTGGTCCTTGTTTTCAGACGTGCCCATTCAAAGGCCACAGTAACTCTGGGCTGAGGTGGCTGCTGCTGCCCTGGCCTCAGTACCCCCTCACTGGGTGAGAGCAGCGAGCCCTGTACTGTCAGGCTGTGTAACTGACCTGCTCCCAGCAAACAGCCCAGGACCAGCTGTGCCGGCAGGAAAGCTGCCCTTCCAGCCAGCAGTGAGGAGGCTCAATCTCAGCCTGGGCTGGGGAACGGGCATCCCTCGGGTGGAATCCCAGCAGTGCTTACAGACTGGAGCCTTCCTGCCAGTTCCATCGCCTCCTTCCTCCGCCCTGTGGGACCGTCCCTTCAGAGGCTACCCGGGGGTGCCAGGGGTGATGTTTCTGCATTTGTAGACTGGTGCACTCTTTAATTTCTGTTTTAGTTCTTGCTGGCATGCTTGAACAGCATGGTTTGTGCCACAGAGGGATGACTGGGCGGCTCTAAAAGCGCTTGTGCATGAGTAAAGTGCTCAGAAGTACACCTAAACTGTATTAAGTTTCTTACTTGGCTTTGTTTGCTGCTTACAAGGGGATCAAGGTAACTCTTTCACTCTTTTAATGTCACCAGATCACCTGCTAATGCACTGTGCTAGTACTTAGTGAGTTTGCTTGCTTGCTTGAAGTGGGTTAGTGCCTTTACCTCCAGCTTTGCTCTGTCTTTTTTAGAGCTCAGATTTTCATGCTGCTTAATCCCACACCGAGTATTCTAGCTGTGTGGCACTAAGGGTTCTAACTGTGCACTTTGTCAGCTCTTGCCTGTAATACCTTCCATACAAAATGTGATTCTAGAGAAAGCAGCTCCTTCCAAGCAAAAGGGATTTCATTCTCCTGTCATTAAATTTTGCAAAATGAGAATTAATGCCAATTACAGTACAAGGACAAGAACAATCATATTTCACAGCATATATTGTGTATATCAAGTTTGCATCTCTTTTGAAATCTTAAACTTGGGGAAATGCTTTCCAAATGTGTGTAGTAAATACATTGAGGCCAGGCCTTTTGGGTTTTCACTTACAGAACCCCACAGTCATTTAACCCCTTCTCCAGGAGCTGCAGTTGAGGTTTGAAGGCATGCAGTGGGGTGGGGTTTGGACTATTAACAGCAGCCATCAAGTGAGGATTTGGAGCAAGCGTTTAACAATAATAGCTGGTTTTATTCTTTTGCCATCACCACTTTTATCCCAACTTCTAGCAAGACCTATGTTCTAAATAAAAGATGATCAAATGCAATAAAGAATCTAGGCCAGATTTCTACAGGCTAATATTTCCAGCAATCCAGTGCAGCTCCTATAGCTCTGTTCTGCTGCTGACAGGGTTGGAATTAGCCCTCATGAATAAGGGAGAATCATTATGCTTAAATTAACACAGCAGTCATCTGAAGTGGAGCCTGTGCAGCAGGCATGGGGTTGTGTAAGGTCATGAACTGGTAGAGGCTGAGCTCCCTGACACCTCAGAGGCTTGTGCCTCTCCTTTTGCTCAGAAGGATCAATAGTAGCAGGGAACTTTATCTGTCTTTCAAGACCATTTGCACAAATCCAATTACAGTAATATTGTGTCATTGCAGTCAGCTCGTCCAGTTGCCGTTGTGGCTGTTTCCTGTTCCCATACAAAACATGCTTTATGGTTTTGAAGGCTTTATTTTGCTTTCCATTATATTGATTGTCTTCTTTTCTAAATGTGTGTTTCAGGCCACCAGTTAGCAGAGCTGCTCCTCAACCCGAAAAACTGCAAAAGAACAATATCAACAAAAAAAAGAAACTGGTTGAGGTCAGGCATAATACTTTTTCATTTTCTTTAGGGGTAGTAAGTGGTGGGTGAAATTCCTCCTTGTTTTGAGGGCAGGGGTGAAATTCCTCCTTGTTTTGAGGGCAGCTAAAGTCATGTCTAGGTAGAAGAGAGAGACTTTTCTTGGAAGAGCTTTCAGCTCTGGTACAAACCCCAGATGGATGTGATAGACAGCAGCCTCTGTCAGAAGGAACCTCAGAGTTGGCATGTTGAAAGCTTTGCAATAGTATCAGTTGTCTCCAAACCCCAGATTTCTCTCTGCATTTGAAGGGTGGGTACAGCCAAAGTGTTTGTGCACCTGGGGGAGAAACCACGCTCTCTACCCAACCCCAAGGGAAATACAGTCAGAAACTTTCACACATGAAAAGTCATGTGTGGGATTTTGGGTGATGAGAAGTGCTCATTACTTTGGAAGGTACCTTTTTCCCAAAACTGTAGCCCCCCCCCAGCTATTTTGAATTTCCACATAATATGCTGAACAAGGAATAGTCTGTGATGTGTGTGGACAGTTTTCAACAAGTGCTTGTCTGGCAGTGTAATTCAGAGCATTCCAAGAAAGCTGTAATTGTGTTGGGGACAGATTCATCAGTCTGTCTTCTGGGCTAAAAAGCAGCTTCAACAACAACCCATTAACCACAACAGTTTTCCTGGAGGCAGTTTCCTTGGCAATTGCTTATTGTAAGCTGAAATTACACCTGTGATTAATGCTTTAACAACAGAGTGACTTGGAGCCCACCTTTGCTTCTTGTAAGGACTTGAAGGTCAGAATTTAGACTGTTGAAATCTGGTAGTTTACGAGAATGATTTTTGAAGACTCTTAAAGTAGAAGTGAAGATAGTTGCAAATATCTGATACCCTCTACAGCTATCAAGCTGTGATGGGAAGATTGATATTGGATCTGTCTTGTAAGTTGTACAGATTTTGGATGGAAATTTACAGAAACAAAACATTTACAGCAGGCTGAATTAGTAAAGAAATAATAATATAAATGCAGTGCTTTAGTTGACCAATTAATGCCTGCTACATAGTCTGTGGGAATGTCATGCCTCAGTAAATTAGCACAAGAACAGGGATAACTGATGAATTATTGCTTAACTACTCTGTTGCCTCTGCAAGGTATTTGTAGCTTGTGTAATTCTTTTAGAACTGTGTTTGTGATCCGAACTCTGTAATCTCCTTGTTTCTTCTGTCGTTTCACTCCTGTTCTCTGGTTTTGTTTTGCTTGCCCAGGAGCTGGCTCTAGACCATGTTTTTGGCTACCGAGGGTTTGACTGTCGCAACAACCTGCACTACCTGAACGATGGGGCTGATATCATTTTCCACACGGCTGCTGCAGGCATAGTGCAGAATCTCTCTACTGGTAACTCCACTTGGAACAGTACTGTGAGATGACAAAATGCTGTTTGGGTAAAATATTTCTGATTGAGAGCCTTAACTTCTCAACATTCCTCTAACTTGCTTATGTTTTGTGACCTCATAAATAATGTAAAAATTAGTAAATCTAGGTGGCTCTTGTATCAGATGGACAGTTTCTCCTGCTCAGGGCATCCTGTAGAGCCATCCTGCTCCTTTCAGCAGGTAGGAGACTCTGCCTAGAAGTGTCATAAAGTCCTGCTCTGTTTCTGCAGGAGTGGCTTTCTCAGAGGAGAGAGCCTGGGTTATGAACTGACTAGTACTCCTGAAAACGTTAGGAGCAGTAACTTCTCTTGTTCCATTTTGGGTTGTTTTTGCACAGTCCTGCTCCAGGGAAGGTACAGTTTGATGTAGCCCTGTGTGAGCAATTTGCTCTTTGGAAGGGGTAGAAATATTCCCTGGCTTTTGGGTAATGGAGAGAAGGGAAAACATCAAATCTTTATCTGGCTTGAAGTTTTAGCACCAGCATCTCCACATTCGTCATAGCTCTGGAGAAACAAAAACAGAAATAGAAGGAAATTTGGTTTTGTTTTATTTGCTCATGGTGCCACAGTGACCCAGAGCAGCAAGCTCATCAGCTCTGCTGCCAGGAAGGGCAGAGGCAGAAAAGCTGTGACATCTGGTGACCTCTGGGGACTCCAGTCTGAGCGCAGCCACTGACCCCTGGAGCTGGGGAGCGCTGGGGTCCCATCTGTTCTTTTTGGGCCCTTTCCCTTGGGAGGATTTCTCAAGGCACAGACTTCACAGGGCTTTGCTCCCCACTGGCCAATCCCATTTACCAGGAAACCTGGGCCCTCTGTCTGCCAGCCCTGCTCTCCCTGCAGTTCCAGGACGGCTGTGGGGCTGATTCCCAGTTCCCTGGACACAGCTGGGTCCCCAGGGAGTGCTGGTTGATAGATGTATGCATTTGTGCTCCTGGTTCCTGCCGACAGGGTGCCTGCCCTCCCCCTCCCCACATTCCTGCCTGGAGAGCACAGGGGGAGTGCAGCACGAGCTCGGGAGCATTCTGCGCTTCGGGCGGTTCTGTCCTCGCTCCTGTTGTGAATAAAACCATGTTTCAATTTTATTAGGTAGTCAGAGCTTCTACCTGGAGCATACTGATGACATTCTCTGCCTAACTGTGAATCAGCACCCAAAGTATAAAAATATTGTGGCTACCAGCCAGATCGGTAGGTGACTCTCCATATAATAAAGTTTTACTCAAAAATTATCAGGGGCACTGATTTATTTTGGGCTTTTCTGTGTAGAAGCTTTACCAGGACATGCCAGTGTTACTGTCCTCAAACTTTCCTTTGATTTTAAAGAGGTAATCAAGCTTCAGGATTTTCTTACATTTTCAACTTCATCTCTGATTGTGAGTCATGGGATTTTGGAGTTAATTGTCATATAATCATATTTCAGAAAGCAGGCTTTGAGAAACTGCTCTAAATCATGTCAGTAATCTGTAATCACAAGATCTGTAGTATTCCCTCTTCCTTCCTGTGTCCAAGGCACTTGTTTAGCAGTAAAATGCTTAGCAGTGAAAATGCAATAGTGAAGGTGTGCAATGCAGAAGTACAAAAGCTGTCTGGAAAAGGAAGGAAACTGAGATCTCTCAGCAGAAGTTGGGACACATGTAAAGGGCCAGCTGTGAAACCAGATGTGTTTCTGTGTGTATTATTTGGAGGAAGAGGCCTGATAGATTCCCTAGTGCAGGGGTAGATGCTGGATGGGAAATGTGGGACCATGTGTCCCGAGCCTGCAGGTGGATCTGCTGCTTTTACCTGAAACTGCTTGAATACCAGAAAAATTATCTAATTCCTGTCCTTCTGGAAGGAGACTCAAGTCTGTAAATTCTGCAATAAACAACTGAACAGAGGGCACAAAAACGGCTGTAGCTGAACACCTTGACAAACAACCCTTGCCTCCTGTACTGAGCACTGGCATTTCAGTTGGAACGTCGAGTGAGCCCAAAAAACTGGACGTATTGTCAGAGCTGCAGTTCCAAATACTGGTTTTGGTGGCAGGGAGAAGGTGACTGTTAAAGGCCCTTGTTCTAGGCTGTCAGTAAGAGCCCATGAAATCAGTGTGTCTGATTCTGGCTGATGCTCTGTGTAACTACAGTCGTTTCACTCTGAAATGTAATAACTTTTTAAAACTGCATGTCTGTAGCATTTCTTTTAAATACCATTTTTAAAGCTCAGAAGTACTAAATATTGTTGTGATATTTGTGTATAAAAACTAATATACCCAAACAAGTTCAACAATATTCCTGCTTATTTGTTTTGTTGATTTAATCCATATCCATTTTCAAATTTTTAATTTTATTTTTTTTTTCCTTCTGGTGCTGATGCTGGCACTTCAGCATTAGAAACATGACTTATTTCACCTATTGTTTTCCCTTGGTGCTTCCTCATTTGCCATTGCTCTCACAATGCAGGTGATATGACAGAGTTCCCAGGTAAGGCTGATTTGTTTGTGAATTTGGGTCGGCAGCGTTCTGTGCCAGTTTCATGTTCCCTGGTTGTATCTGTGTGAATCGCGGATACAAGCGAAACATCAACAGACAGTTGCTTTTGCATGAGGGTCTTCATAAATGTCACGTGGTTCTTTTAGAAGTTGTCTTACTTGATTGAATACAATGATTTCCCCTGTGTTTTGCAAGCTATTATGGATTTTTTTTTTTGAGTAATGTTAATCTTAAAACAGAAATCCACAACTTGTGTCTGTTGAGGTTACATGTTTTTGAAAAATGCCTGGTCTGCGTTGCAGCTTTCCAGGTGTTGCACTAAGCCTCTTTCCATGCATCTTTTTGCACGTAGGTACGACTCCCACAATTCACATCTGGGATGCTATGAGCAAGCAGACCATTTCCATGCTGCGTTGCTTCCACACCAAAGGGGTCAACTACGTTAACTTCAGTGCAACTGGCAAACTTCTGGTTTCGGTCGGAGTTGATCCGGAACATACAATCACAGTGTGGAGGTGGCAAGAAGGTAACTCTGGAAAAATCGTGATCCTTCAGCCCAACAGAACTGCATACAGCTGTTGGCTTTTCCTTTCAAGTCTTTGGGATAGATTTGTGTCCTTACTCTGAGTGTCGTGGCTCCCTAAGTCACAAAACCTGTTAAAGGAGATGGCAAAGTGCTAGAACAGCGGAATGAGAAACTAGGTTTTAAATGGCTATTCAGCAGAACTGAGGTTATATAATATCAAATTCCATGAAATTAGGGAAAGTATTTTCTTCTTCTTCCTAAAGTCCTTGAGCTTTGCATTCTGTGCTGCAGACAGGCCTTTGGGAAGCCGTTTCAAAAAGGAGTTATCCTGCTCAGATGTGGAGGGGAGAGCAGAAGTGCCTCAGCTCATTAGGTGCCCCCCTGGGTGTCTCACCAGATGGTGACTCGCTGATGACACAGAGTTGCTGTGTTGTTGGGTCACTGACCCAGGCGACAGCCGGTGCCATGAGGGCCTAACTCTGCCTCTCCTGAGCCTGTCAGCTGCCACGCAGGACACGGGGACCAGGCGGGCTCTGCCAATTGAGATGTCTGACAGGGCACAGGTCTCTCGGCCAATCCCAGGTCAATCTGGTTTATAAAATCATATCAGAGCTTCATTTTGCATGTAAATTTTTTGGTTTTATCCTTTCCTGCTGGAAACAGGGGCTAAGGTTGCGAGCAGGGGAGGACACCTGGAGAGGATATTCGTTGTGGAGTTCCGCCCGGATTCAGACACGCAGTTTGTGTCCGTGGGGGTCAAACACATGAAGTTCTGGACGTTGGCTGGCAGCGCTTTGCTTTACAAGAAGGGAGTCATCGGGTCCATGGAAGATGCCAAAATGCAGACCATGCTTTCTGTTGCCTTCGGAGCAGTGAGTTCCAATTGCTTGCTACACAATTCCAGCATGCGTTTTTATTAAACCCGTGTGTCCGTGTCCTGTGTTGAAACCCAGTACAGTGGGGACAGTGCAGGACCACGGAGCTCTTGCTTGGTAGTTCAACTTCTAATTTAAAACTTGGGCACCATTGAATCCTCACCTACTTTTTCTAGGCAGGGTTGGGTTTCTCTGTTAGCAAATGTTTTTTATTAATGCCTTGCATACCTCCAGCATCAGCTGCCGTGGCTTCTATTGGCTTACTTGGTTAGTTATTTAGCACTTCCCTGATTAACTTAGAGAAATGGGATATTGTTATTTTGTGTATAGGCTCTGCAAACTTTTTTTGCTGCTACCAGTATTTGGTATGACCTGTGCTGGTGATCCAGCTAATGGTGACACTAAATACTCCTCCTGCTGTATGCTCCCCAGGGAACCACAGCACTGTGCTTTAGACTTCATAATGAAGGAAAACAATGCCTGTTAACAGTGACAAAGCAGTGTGACCACGGTACTAAGGTCTGAAATAGCTTCTGCTTCATCCAGAAACCCCAGAGAAATCACCTTTGCAAAGGTTAAGCATCAGTTACACAAACCTCTTGCTCCTAATTATCCACCCTGTACAATAGAACTGACGTGTGAAATGTGAGGGTGTGAAACTGGGCTCCCAAATCCTCATCCGTGTGCCCAAACAAGTGACTTTGTTGTCAAAAATAGCTTAATTGTAAACATTTCTTCCTATTCCCATGGCTCTATTCCAGTATGAACTACAAGTAATGTAACAGACGCTGAAAACCCCAGAAGTGGTTTTATAAAAGCAGCAGAATGTAACATTAGAACAAACAAATTGCTTGTCCCTGCTTCCCAAGTAGAAACAGTCCAGCATTCTGTTTGCTAAAATAATGAAGCTGAGATGCTGTGAGGACACCTTCAAAACCAGGAGGTGACTGCTGCTCCGTTGGCACGTGTCACTGAATCCCACTGTCACACTGAGCTGCTGTCACTCAGAGAGCAGCTCCCTCCTGGCAGGTGGCTTTGCTTCCCACACACGTGGCACGGTTGACTCCTCAGGAGATGTGACAGCTGAAGGAACTGCAGTTCAAGCTGAGCCAGAACTCTGAGGTGGTTATTACATGGGGGGTCGTTGCTGTTGTTGCAGAACAACCTCACCTTCACCGGTGCCATAAACGGAGACGTCTACGTCTGGAAGGACCATTTCCTGGTCAGACTTGTGGCCAAAGCCCACACAGGGCCCGTGTTCACAATGTACACGACTCTTCGAGATGGACTCATTGTCACAGGAGGGAAGGAGAGACCGTAAGACATGTGATCTTCCTAAAGTGCCCAACTTTTGTCTCTTTTATATCTATACATTTATTTACCCAGTGCCCTAGACATACCATTGATACCTGGGAAGTGGTGTGTATCTGCACCGTAGCAGTTTCAGGCTGAACTTGACACAGCAGGTGTTGTAGTGAGTAAAGGATGGATAAGAAGGACACCTGAGGATCACAAGAGTGCCCATGGTGCACAAAGGACCTACTGAACCCCACATTGGCCACTGACTGTGTGAAGTCCTTGTGGCCTGAGCCCCTGCCAGCCTGGCATAAGGGCCTTTCTGAATTTTGTACTTCCATCAAGCTTCAGGCTACAGACAGCCTCTCCCAGTGGAGACTCTGTCATTAGCAAGTTCTTTTATTTACTGTAAGTAACATTTGCCAAGCTTACCTTGGTGACAGAGATTTGAGATGAAGTGATGAGAGAACAACTTGGTTGTTGCAGGTTAGCTGTGGTACTGTTTGAAACATGAAGTGTGATAACATTTAAATCTGCATTATTTACTTCCCGTTGCACCACAGTGAGGTGCATTTCTATACAGCAGAAGCTGATTCAGTGTGTGTTTTGTTACTTAACGAGAGAAATCCCGCTGGGATTTGCTGTAGCCTGTGCAGAAGGAGACATCTGGGTAACCCAGCGCGCTTCCTTTCAGCACCAAGGAGGGGGGAGCGGTGAAGCTGTGGGACCAGGAGATGAAGCGGTGCCGAGCCTTCCAGCTGGAGACCGGCCAGCTGGTGGAGTGCGTGCGCTCCGTCTGCAGGGGCAAGGTGAGGGGCCGCGGGAGGAGAACTGGCTGCCACCCAGGAGGGCTGATCGATGCCCAGTTTCTGTGAAGTGGAACACAAGAGAACTAGGGAGCCGTTTGACAGGCTCAAGCCACTCTTGCACGTTTTCCTTGGAGTGTAGGTGTTGTGGCAGGGGCGTGTGGTGATGCAGGAGCGCTGCTGCATCCTGTGGGCATCTGTCCTGCTGACTTCATCAGCTGGTCGCTAGTTAACTTCACGTGTCCAGTCTCAGGAGCTTGTGCTCGTTGGTACCACCACTGGGGGATGCTGGTTTCTATTTCTAATCGGGTAGCCATCAACCAATTCCAAACTGCATCTGCTTGGGCTTTTTCCAAGTACTTGCCGAGAAAGCTCTTGCAGTTCAGACAATGACAGATGCATCTAGAGTAGACATGAGGTGCTCTTAAAGTCTAACTGAACCTAAAACTCTGGTGGGTTTTTTTTGTTATTGCCCAAATATTGAGCTACCTCAGAGGTAATTCATACTTTGCCAACTTGTATGTGAACACTTTGAGCTGAATTAAAACCCTTGATGGCAAGGTGGAAAATCCACCAGTCACTCAACAGCAGCACGGCTGCTGGATGTGAAGGTGTCAGTGTTTTCATCTAGAGTAGACATGAGGTGCTCTTAAAGTCTAACTGAGCCTAAAACTCTGGCGGGTTTTTTGTGTTGTTGTTGTTGTTAGTGCCCAAATATTGAGCTACCTCAGAGGTAATTCATACTTTGCCAACTTGTATGTGAACACTTTTTGAGCTGAATTAAAACCCTTGATGGCAAGGTGGAAAACCCACCAGTCACTCAACAGCAGCACGGCTGCTGGATGTGAAGGTGTTGGTGTTTTACTCTCCTTTTTTAAAGTTTTCTCCTTGTTCTAAGCTAGAGGCTTACCACAGATATTTCTACAATACTTCAGTATTTTAGTGCTATTAATATAGTCTGTCTGTCACACTGACAACCCATCTCTCACTGGGTTTGGTTTTTTTTTGCTACAAACAGGGGAAAATTTTAGTGGGAACAAAAGATGGAGAAATCCTGGAAGTAGGAGAAAAAAACGCTGCTTCGAACTTGTTAATTGACTGTCACATGGAAGGGGAAATCTGGGGCTTAGCAACTCACCCTTCAAAAGACATATTTATCTCTGCAAGCAACGATGGAACAGCGAGAATCTGGGACCTGTCAGACAAAGTGAGTGTCACTGCGTTGAAGTGCTGGTGAAAACGGATCATGTGACAGGACGGAGCAGGTTCCCCTGTCCGAGGTGCCGGCTGTCAGCAGCCACCCGGGGAGGGGGCAGCGTTCCTCCGCCCGCTTTTGGGGCGGGTCTTTGCGCTCCTGCTGCGTGGGGAGGTGAGAAGGCCCGTCCTGGGTGGGGTGCCCCTGCTGCTCTTCCCCAGCACAAGCCATCCGCGGGACGTGCAGTTACTTGTGAGCCCTGGTGCCAGTAGGGAGTGCCCTTGGCTGTTTGGCACACAGAGTTTCCAGAAGCTTTCAAACCTGAGCTAACGGGGATCATGTTTAGTATGGAAGATGGATATATGACAAATACAGTCAGATAAGTGAAAATGCAAGAGGATGCTAGTATGTTTTCACATAGCAAATCCAATGGAAGAAGCCTGCCCTGACCAGCAGTTGCAGAAGCTGTTGACATCACCTTTCAGACAAAACAGGAAAGGGATTTTTTCAGCCTTTTTCTGCTAAACTATGTTTTTTTCTGCTGTAAAACTTGACATCACCCTGCAACAAGATAGATGCAAACACTAAACTCCCTTCTGAGTTACATCTGTATTTTGAAGCCTGCTGTGCAACACATGCCTGGTGGGAGGTGATTTTTTTTGTTGTTAGATTCCAGATTTATATTTAGAGGAAACTAGAGACAATTGGGTTCTAATAAGTGACTTCTGTGCTTGGTGTTTGGAAACTTTGCATGATGTGCTTGGTAGTTTTCTCCAGGGGAGGTATGAGCCTGTTGCTTTTGTTAACACAGAAACTGGTGAACAAGGTGAGTCTAGGTCACCCAGCGAGATGTGCCGCGTACAGCCCTGATGGGGAGATGGTTGCCATTGGCATGAAGAACGGAGAATTCGTTATTTTACTCGTAAACAGCCTTAAGGTTTGGGGCAAAAAGCGTGACAGGAAGTCTGCAATTCAGGATATCAGGTATGTCAGACGTTGCTGTTGGAGTTTGCTAAGTGTACAGCCCTTACCCAAGAAAAAGTCCCATCCGGTTCCAGGTTGATTTCCAGAGTTTTTGATAGCTCCATATTTGTGGAAACCTGTCTGAAATGGTAAAATGTATTTCTGGGCGGGCTGGTGGCTTTCTGTATGCCTAAAGCTCCTGAATCTTACATACCACACACTGCTTTTTGTCCTGTGACTAACTCTGTTACAGCCACTTGAATATAGCTAGTAATTGTACACCGTGGAGCTCGTGACTGGGGGAATAAATGTTACACTCCTTCATGTTTGGAATTTTAATGTTTAATGCGTTTTATGTGATTAATGCATTTTAATTTAATTACATTTTTAAATTGCAATTCCTGTCACTTTCTCATGGAGGATGTTACTCTGCACAATGTGCACTTTGTTAGCATGATATTAACATCACTTAACTACCTACAGCATCCTCAGTCTTCCTCACCTGTTAAGCATCAAAGTTTAGTTTGGATACAATCCTGCTATTGATTGAATCGCTATTCTTATTTTTTCATTAAATTAATTGGTTGTCTTGTGTTAACGTGAGAAGCACAAGAAAATCTTGCACAGAAACAGTAAATTCTCTTCCCCTTGCCTGTTTCCCTGTCTAGGATCAGCCCAGATAACAGGTTTTTGGCAGTGGGTTCCCAAGAACATACAGTGGATTTCTATGATCTGACCCAAGGCACCACCCTGAACCGAATAGGCTACTGCAAAGACATTGCCAGTTTTGTCATCCAGCTGGATTTCTCTGCAGACAGCAGGTACATTCAGGTACGTCTGGGGCAGCCCACGTGTGGTTGGGGTCACTGGGACTTACCAGACATAGTCACTCCATGGAGGGCAGAAAGGGGGGAGGCTTTCCAAAGCTGTGTCAGCTTGGAGGTGCCCCTCCATGTCCTGAGGCAGGCCAGGTGACTCGGGTTGTCTTCAGGGTGTTCACGGGACTCTGTGCAAAGCCCTCTCTGCTTTCCCAAGTGCTCGGGTGGACCCCTGGGTTCTGCATCCCCAGCGGGTGTGAGCTCCAACACGTCTGACTTCCCTCACACGGTGTGCTGAGGGCAGAGGGTTCTCCCTCCTCAGGGCAGGGGGGCAGGGCTGAGGAACACACCCTGGATTCTAACGGGACAGAGCTGGTTCTCCTTCTCCTGGCCCCGGGATGGGAGATGTATGACAGCCAGGTGAACGGGAGGATTCCTTCCCAAACGTTCCTGTAAGGCCAAGCTGAGATAAACCAGAGTGGGTGTAGCTGCAGGGGACTGTCAGCACTGCAGTGGACAGACCAACAGCCCATTCAGTTGTCGTCCCGTTACATCGTCATGCTTCACACTGCACAGAGTGGCTCTGGCTAAGGAGGACATTTTATCCTAGATATTTATTTCCTATTAAAACCTGTTGAGACTGTTACTGCTGGAAATCTAAATACAGAAACCAATGTATCTATGGCAAACTTACTAGTGTGTTTCTTTCCTACTTTCAGGTCTCCACAGGTGCCTACAAGCGTCAAGTTCACGAGGTGCCACTAGGAAAGCAAATAACAGATCCTGCATTAATAGAAAAGATCACGTGGGCCACGTGGACAAGGTAAAACACTGAAGGAGAAAGCTCCACTTACACAGCTATTTTTTCACACACAGATGCAGCCAGCTGGTGTCTGCAGTAATTATTGCTGTAGTACTAGTGAGGGCTGGCTGCCACTCGTCCCAGGCTTCCCAGCAGTGAGGTGTGTGCCCCCTCACGGGGCTCTGTACCACTTGAAGTGTCCCTTTTAGTGGCTCACTGGCATAGGCACGGCCTTATCCTGCATCAGGGAAGGCAGAGGCCTGGAGCCCTGAGCTCACTGGGCTTAGGAAGGAGCTGTGGGTGTCGTTACAGTGGAGTTACTGAGGTGGTTGTGTATAGGACCCTCCCCACAGGGCAGCAGAACTATGGCTGTGCTCTCACTGTAGAAAGTGGAACAGGCCAAAAGCAGCTCTGGCAGCAAGCAGAGGGTGCCAGCACAGGCAGGGCTGAGGAGAAGGTGAGTGAGAAGCTGCCTACGCTCCCTGCTCTGCTGGCGGGCAAGCAACAAACTCTGCCCCACACGACTCTTTTCTAAGGGCTCCTGACAGACCGTGGGAGTGGGGCAGATGCATCTGGCAGTTAATATGTGGGTAAATAGGAAAGATTATAAAGGAACTTTAACTAAGGGAAGAACAGCTATTTTTTAAGAACTATTCTCCATCCAAACACACTTCCTCTTCATTCAAGAACTTCTGGTTAGGAGACGAGCACTCCTGTCAAAGACCCCTCTGGGCAGGTACATCACAAGTCCATGAGGAAAGGAGGAGACCAGAGCTGCATGTGTAAAATTATGGAAGTGGTTTCACAGGGAAATGACCTCAGGATTTATGACCAGAGACGCTGTAAGAGTCACACAAAAAGGCGTGTTCTTGTGGTGGCCTCTGTAATGAGATCACATTCAGTGTGATGTCCTGTGGACTAAGGCTCCTGTCCTAACTTGGTTTTGGACTAGCATTCTTGGGGATGAAGTCATTGGAATTTGGCCACGCAACGCAGACAAGGCCGATGTCAACTGTGCGTGTGTGACCCACGCCGGCCTGAACATCGTCACGGGGGACGACTTCGGGCTGGTCAAGCTGTTCGACTTCCCATGCACTGAAAAGTTTGTGAGTGGGTGTTTCACTTTCATCAACAGCTCGCTCCTCCCCGCGCTGGGGCGCCTTAGCCGATGGCGTTGTGGTGCTGGAAGGGCCCAGCCCAGCAGGCACCTCCCGGGCCGTGGGGCAGGGGGCTGGGTGGCAGAGGGGCC